TACATCAGCAGGGATCACATCACCTCACTAGCGCCCGGCAAACTCCTAGAACTATTCAGGCTGCTGGGGGTCTGGGAGGTCATGTGATATAGGAGAGGGCACAATAGACCTTAGGTCGCGGTGCATTACCTCAAATATTCTATCTATCTATCTATGACGTATAGCAAATAGCTCGGTGTTTTTAGGAGGACTAATGCACTAAATGAGCCAATGAGCCGAGTTAAACGAGTTTCTCACATCAAATGTGACGACCGCAGAATATTCTTTTTTTCCATACATTCACCTGTCTCCTTCAATAGCATTTTCTGCTGAAGCCATATTGGTTATCAGAGAGATCAGCATCTCTTTCTAGATGATTTTCAAGACGGGTACAGACTATTCGATTCAGGATTTTGCCCATCGTATCGATAATACAGAGCAGTCGATAGGAGCTTGGGTCTCTAGTGGGCTTCTTTGGCTTCTGTAAGAGTACTAGTCGTTGCTTTATCTTGAATGCTTCTTGTAGTCTGTCACAATCTAAGCTGCCTATGATTCTTTGAAATGCCGCCTCGCTTTGTGACTATAACTTTTCGGTGATTCGATTCAACAGGCTTTCTCTTTGCGGTTGTCCTCTTTTTATTCATAGCGGCATCACAGTCTTTGATAATGCTTCGTACCAACAATTTAGCCTGTTGGTTTATGTCATCACTTCCTTTTATGTTTGCATCCAGCATTAACCTAAAAAATTCCTGATCTAGCGTTTCAATTCTCCATCCTTCGGACTGCACCTTTTGGTGGCAAACATTTAACTATTGATACTTATCATTATAGTTCACTTTGGGTATATATGTCGCATATCCAATAGTCTATGTATCGATATAGCACCCTGCTGGCAAAAGATATATCGATAATGGAGCCACGCCCATTTTTCTCAAAGGTGTTTTGTCTTCCTGTATTAAGCAGTACTACGTCTAGAACAGCAAATGATTTAAGTAATGCACTACTTCTGAAATTTCAGTTTTTGCTGCCCCATTCTAGAGCCAAGGCATTAAAGTCACCTGCAATTATATTATATTAGGTGTAGTTGTCATCGCATCTTTTCATCACGTGGTCGTTTTGGTGTGACTTCAGCAGTCGTCTGTTCCATAGCTATGCTGCTACCTATGTTAGATTGACGTTATTTAATATGGTCATCTTGTGCACGGGTGTAAAGCTTCGATATTGCGCTAAGCAGTCATCTTCTCCAATTCTAGTGTGCCCCGGTATGGACCGGGGACCCACGACAGCCAGTTCTACGTACCGGAATTGACTCGGATTTCATCCGACCAAGGGCTGTTTTTTCGGCGATCTGACCCCGTAAAAGAAAAAAAAACAGACGCACCTAATGTTTAAATGAGTTAAACGTCCACCCACTCTACCCGGGAAAACTGGCGCACTCTAATAAGACAGCTTAATTCACCACAGCTGATGACACCAACACAACTCACCATACGTATACACTCACTAGAAAGAAACGTTAAATGATTGTATATTTTAGGTCGTGCGCATTTTTATTAAAGAAGCGTTATAGTGGTTAGAACTTTTCTGTGCACATTTGGGCAGCAAATTATTCACCTAACATGGTGAATAGCCATGACCAGGAAGCCGCTCACTTTGATCGCTTTGAGTACGTCGGGCCAGGATTTTAATCGGTCACCTATATTCGAGAGGAGGTAGTGCCCTCGAGCCCTTGTATCAATTGCAACGTATTTGACAGTTTGCTAGCAATGTACATTGCCTGTCGAGGAACCTTGTTATAATATGTTTAGATCATATTCTAGAAATATTTATTATAATAAATATTATTGCGGATATAATATATATTATTCTGACAATATTGTACCAATGAAGTGAAATGCCTATGTAGACAGCAAGTAATATTATCGTTTAAATATAACATCATGTATTCCTTGAAACTTCATAATGCTTTAAAAAATACGTGTAGATCCAAAAGCCTACGAAGATGTAAATCTAAATTGCCTGATTTAAGTGAAAAGCCGGATCCTAGGTCTATAACACAAGACTATGTGGGTCCCCCGGATAAGTTATCTAATATACGATCCTATGTCAGACATATTCCCAAGAATGAAACAGACTTGGAAAGGCGCCTAAGGCAAATGCAGGAGCAGAACGAAAAATGGAATCATGATTTCTGGTCAAATCACAATAAGAACTTCTATCAGGTACTGAAATATTTAATTATTGTGTAAAGTTTAACTAATATTTCTAGAGTTTCTCATTAAATCATCCTCTCATTGTAGTTTACTGAGTTTTGCCTAAAATGAAAATGGAAAACCAATCGGAATGTTAAGTATTCGTCAGGAATAAACCATTTGATAGAGGGACAAATGTCGTAACAATTTTCAAAGGGTTGTGTTTAGTATCGCGCCGGTTAATTTTGGCTCACCGTACCTAAACGAGACAACCAAATTGAAAATTTTACACAAGCATGTATGCTTAAATTATCGAACTTTATTTTAAAACATATTTTATATAAATCGGTTCACAGATTTTTCTACAAATTCACTTTAAAAAAATGCTATTTTTTGCAAATGCAGAAAGGAATGAAAAGCTAACATACTTTGGAGGAAATCCCG